GCTGCCGCGGCGGGGCTATTCAGAGATCTCTGAAAGGATCGCGAAGACGCACGCGCGAGCGAAGTGACGGAAGCTGGATAGATATTTGTATAGACGTCTCGGGGATCGGTGGTTTTACGAGAAGAAAAAAGAAAGGAGTGAGAGAGAGAGAGAGAGAGAGAGAGAGAGAGAGAGAGAGAGAGCAATGTAAGGATGAAAAGAAAGGACGACGTGAGAAATTGGACAAGGACACGACTGGACCACCGAGCTGATCCTGGCGAACGCGTATATGCGTGCGCGTGTGTGTTCACGTGTATTATCACCCCGTTCGAAGCTCGTGCGAGCATATGTGGCTCGTATTTAACGGCATTACGGTCACGATTCATGCATAATTTATCTGAAAGCACGGTGAAAAATAGTTTTGACCTCAAGGGCCAGGCGGGAAAGGCGTTTGTCCGCCACGCACTCGGCTGCCGCTGCCGCTGTCTGCATAGAAAGTGGCTGCCCTCACGTTACGTGCGAGGGTGCTGGACTGGTCCGAGTTACAGTCCGATTGGCTAAAGCCGCGGTTAGGACCATTCCCGATGTTAATGGCATTGCCCGCCACTTGGTACCTGAGAACGACGACGGCACGTCGCGGTACGCGTGAACGCGATTGATAACGTTTTCGCAAACACGCGACGACTTGTCAAATACTTTGCCGTAGCGCAGGCGGAGAAAGTGTTAAAACATCAAGATGTTTTACCGAGGTCTCGACGATAAATTAACGAGAGAGATCAGGAGAGAGAAGGGGAAAAAGAGAGAGAGAGAGAGAGAGAGAAAGAGAGAGACAAAGTAAGCACGCGAGTGTCAAGTTCAAGAAAGACAAGGTGGATTAACAACAGGTGATTAATTGTCGGGGAAAATGAAACGTTGCGCGATCGTGATTGCGTTAACGGCGAGTAATAATAAAGTATTCGATTGTGCCGAACTATTGAGATATCACGACACGTCGATACCGTCTGTATCGAAATAATCCGGGAGATTCTGCTTCACCTGTGAAATATCGCGAGGTATAATTCCTCTCAGGTTTAATTATCCGCGTACGTGTACTGTTACAAATGTCCGCGAGGTGTATCGTCATGATTTTAAGTGGTTCCGCGTAATCCGGCAGCATCCTCGACAGAATCTTCTCTCAAGCCACATTATCACCTGCCATAGGAACTTGGCACCGCTCGCTTCAATGGCTTCTATACAACGCTATGGAGAAACCTGTTTGTCATGTATCTCGTTCTCTGGATATATTAATAGCATTCTGTCGCTCACGTGCAATGCCTGGTACCCAAAGGAAACCATGTTTCTTATCCCCCTCCTCTCTCTCTCTCTCTCTCTCTCTCTCTCTCTCTCTCTCTCTCTCTCTCTCTCTCTCTCTCTCTTTCGCTCATTGTATCCCTCTTTTTCTCCACGCGCCTCTCTATCTACGCTTACGTTGCGTCGACAATGAAACTTCCTGTCCCATCGTATAAAATGCACCAGCTGCCTCGAGATCGTCGCGAGGGATCTGAACGAAGCGCGCAACGAGTTGATCACCTTGCATCATCCTTGCTTCTTTAATTAACGACGCGCGGCGACAAAACGTTTTTCGTACGTACGCACTTTGTAGGCTAACGACTGTGTCCCGCTGTGTGCACTTTCAACTTTTCTCGCCAATTAAAGTGTCAAGTGGCTCGATCGAAGAATGAAGAAAATTATGGAAATTTATTTCCACGACACGAGCGAATACGCGCGAATACACGCGAGACGGTGATACGAAGACAGCTGGCCGAGTGTCGTCCGCTCGCTCGAGTCTCTCTACTCTCTACTCGCGCGATTTTACCTGATCGCCAAAATTGCACCAAAATTGCGGTGCGCCGCAGCGCCTTCGGCCGCACTCGTTCCCGTCCACGCTGTCGGACGAGAGAATCGCGCTATTTGCCGTGATACATTAACGTAGCGTACGAGCGAGACGCGTAATGCGCTTTAGCTTGGTAGCGTTCTAGCGGACATCGATACCACCATACTCGTTACTACTGCCACTCTCGCTGTTCGTCCATGTGGCAGCCGGTATATCCAGTCCCGCATAATTTTAACCGCAAGATATACGGAGTTTACCCCGGGGTCAAAGCACGCACCGAGCGTCACGGACGAGCACCGACGAAATTATTCCGTCGATTCGCCGATGCTTTCGGAGAAGCGGAGAAAGAGAGCGAGAGAGAGAGAAAGAGAGAGAAAGAGAGAGAAGAGAGGTATCGCGCGAACATGTGATAAATGGCCAGCTCCGTCGTTTCGAGCGGGTCTACGAACGACTCAATTTCGCGTCGCTAGCGGGGCCCGTTTTGCTAGCGCGCTGCTGAATTCCATCGCGACTCGAGCCGCAACGACACACAACGATCAGGCATGATCGACCGGATACGTGTTCGATATTTATTCATGCGAGCGAGAGCTCCCGCGCGAACGTAGCCTGAGAGCGAGCAAACTTCGCGACCCAAGTCGGCTCGCGACG